CAGACTGAAAGCCTGCTCTCCAGCGTGTGGCAGATTTCATGTTTCAGAAATCTGGTAGAAAATGTCCACTTCTGTGGTGGCCTTTTGTGTCTTTTGAATGTGTCATGCCAGAAGCACCAAAGCTATAGAACATGGACATCTACAGTACAGTTTAGCATAGAAGCCATATGGCTCACAGCAACCAGGAGATGTACTCATTATCATTCCCATTTTACAGATGTACGATGGATAAAGTAGTGATTTATCCAAGGGAAGCCCACAAGGCCATTTTATCATCTGCCTGGAGAAAGTGACGGTTGGGGAATACAGCTGTCAGAGTTCACCAGCCCGCTATGGTGCCTGATGAACTCTGGGAGTTGTAGTCCAAAGAGTCATTTTCCCCCCCCCTTCAAACTGTGGTCGAATCCCTACTTGATGGAGAGAATCTGGAGAGAGAAAATCCCTCCCTCTCAACAGGGGGCAGCATAGCCTCTGCTGGAAGCTCTCCGAGGAGGCTGAGCTCTCCGCCTTTCAAGATACACTTGGTTGCCTGCTCTTATTGTCAAGATTTTTCTTTAATTTATCTTCTTTAAGAGAAGAAACCTTTGCCCTTCCTTATATGGCAGCCCTCTAGATATTTCAAGGGTGCTTCCAGATCCCCCTTTGGGTTTTCTCTTCTTTATGCTAGAAGTAACCCACTTCCTTAGCCCCTTCTCCACAATTTGCTTCCTGTACTACTGCCCATCATCCTTGACCTGCCCTCATTCAGCTGCTGCACATGGGAGACCTGACTCTCTCTCTTAATTTATACCCCACTTTTCCACCGAAAGGTAGCACTCAAAGTAGTTTACAATTTTTAAAAAATAAATAATAAAAACAGACAAAATCGCATTTAGCTAAAAATTAATAATAAAACCAGTTGAACCAGCCCCACTGTAAAAACCATTAAAATTAAGCAACTAGTACTGTGGTGGCGCTGCGGACTAAACTGCAGAAGCCTGTGCTGCAGGGTCAGAAGAGCAGCAGTCGTAAGATCGAATCCACGCAACGGAGTGAGCTCCCGTCGCTTGTCCCAGCTCCTTGCCAACCTAGCTGTTCGAAAGCATGCAAATGCAAGTAGATAAATAGGGACCACCTCGGTGGGAAGGTAACAGCGTTCCGTGTCTAAGTCACACTGGCCATGTGACCACGGAAGATTGTCTTTGGACAAAACGCTGGCTCTATGGCTTGGAAACGGGGATGAGCACCGCCCCCTAGAGTCGAACACGACTGGACAAAAATTGTCAAGGGGAACCTTTACCTTTACTGTGGTCCTTGGTGGTGACTTGAAGACACGTGGGGTGACTCACTGAGACCCCAAACTTGCAAGATTAAAAGAATACATGAACCTAGAAAGCAGGGGTAACATGATAATGGTGGAAACTTCCATCCATTTCCTGAAAGACGGTTGGGCTTTGTTTTCTCTTTGTTTTGTGCTGTTTTTCAGTCTGAACATGTTTTTTCCGACCTCCCTTCATTGAAGAGGGGGTGGAGGGCCCAGCCTTTGAGACCCACAGTCTTTGGTGGGAGGTTGCTGTAGGCAATTCCTAGAAACACCCTGATCCCAAAAGGTGGCCTTTCTGAACTCTGCCTTTGACTAGCAAAGCAAACCCAAATCTTCATCCTCGTAGTCTAGTGTGGCAGAGACTACAGAGGCTTTGGTTCTTTTGCATTTCAAGACAGGTGTCAAAAATAGAGACGTGGGAGCTGGCATTCAATGGGTGGGTAGACATTGCCTTGCTGGGGTGGTGGTGGTAGACTAGGGCTTGTTTATTTATTCACTTTTTATACAGGTCTATGGGGATGCACCCTAGTCTGCAGATGCACCATTGCTGGAGAAGAACATTCCCATCCTTGCTCACTGGCGCTGGGGTGGGGAGCCCTATGAGCTAAGTCAGGAATGCTCTTCCATGCCGCGAATTGTTTTCGGGCCCCAAATGTTTGTTTAGGAGCTCTGCCGTTGCCAGCTGATGTCATGCCTTACATTTCTATCGGCACTGGGAAGCCGCGGGTCGCTTCTCCCTGCAAATGTGCATTTGTCGTCTGGCAGGACAAATGTTATGCACTAGTTATGAGAACTATCTGAGCTAGTGGGGCCCTCTCTCACATCAAGAGAAGGGTTATCTGCTTTGGGGCGAAGCTGTGCTTTGCCCGGAAAGAGCCGACGTTTCTGCTATCATGGCAGTAGGCTGTTGCTGCGATGAGTTTCTGCTTTAAAACAAGTTTGCTTCTTGCATAACTCGGTCCATGTGAAATCCTACTCCTGGAGGTACAATTCTAATGGTAAACGATGCAGGTAGGGGCATGTGCAATGTTTTAAAGGGGGTGGGAGGGATTGATTAACCAGCACCATCATAAATAGAGCAGGATTCAGCCCCGGCTGGGTTCAGTGGCCAACAAGGAGGCCATTCAGACTCTAAAAACTGGTCACCTCTCTACTAAACCATGGCTTAAATCTGATGTGAAAAATCATAGGTAAGCATTGGCCTTTCACACACAGACCAGTAGTATGACCATCAGAAGGAATTGGTACCTTCCACGTTTGCTTAGCCTAGTGTAGCATTTTGTGTGCATCTAAAACTGTGTTCAGTTCGGTTTGTTTAAACAAGCTTCCCCCATAATCCACAGCTTGAAACCATTATTAACATTAAATCATTGTTTGTCAGAAGCCAAAGCTTTCTGTCACCTTGCACTCACCTTGCAAAAGGAGAGTGCAGAAGCCGAGTTTGCAAGCCAGAGATTGATCTCGGCTTGTGACTCTAAAGTATAAACACTAAACTATGGTTTATCAATTACTTTACACATTACTTTCAAGGAGGTGCTTCCCATGAGGTTGTGTCCCATGTGGCTTAATTTGAGGGGTGGTGTCATTTGGAATTCCTGTTTCAGGTACAGAAATATTGCGTGTTCATCTTTTGTTCATAGCAGATCAAGCTGAGTGTCTCTTTCAAGCTGGGTAGTAAGTATCATATAGACAGCAGATGGAATGGGTATTTTATTACATGCTGTTCAGTTGCATCTGACTTCTGGTAACCTTAATAGGGGTTTCAAGGTATCTGAGCTATTTAAGGAGTGGTTTTATCATTGCCATGCCCAAGGATTTTTCATGGCAGAGCAGAGACTTGAATTCAGATCTCTTTAGGTCCTACCCATCACTCTGTCCACTATGGAATAGTGGTTCGTAGCATATGAAAGTAATACTCCACTCCCCAAGCCAACTACACCAGAGCACAGAGTGCTGTCCTCTGAATATGCTGACCACAGAGACTGGCGATATGTTAGGAAGAACAAACTTCAAAACATGACCAAACAGCCCGAAAAACCCACAACAACCATTAGATCCCGGCCGTGAAAGCCTTCGCAAATACATCCACCAATCTCTTTGTTTAATAGTCCCAGATTTCCTGTAGGAATCCCAATGCATAACCATATTTATTGGCGTGCCTCAAAGCTTGAAACTGTTGCTTTTTCAATTAAATATTTATTTATTTGGCTTTTTACCCTGCCCGTCTAAATTCAAACGAATTTATATACTGTACTGTATATGAATATAACAGAATCAAAAATATTCCAGCCCAATGCGGCTAATGTCCAGGCTGGCTAGGGGAATTCTAGGAGCTGTAACGGAAAGAAGCCGCTTTCCCCAGTTTGGGTTTGAACCCGAGCAGTAATTCATCAATACGATTTGTATCTGGAAATATAGTCTGACTAACTTAATTCTCCACTGACATTTCTCGCAATTGATTTCCCCAGGAGCAAGTGGTTTGCTTTTATCATGTTCTTGCACATTGGCTTCAAACCCGCAGCGGATGAGTGCTGCAAGTTATCAGAAGGGCCGTGAACCAATTAAAGAGTTTTGCGTTTTAAGTCTCCCTACAGCGTTCCTTTCACTGAGTCATTCATACACATAGAAGACTCAGTACTACTGACTCATAGTAAATCCCAAGGGACTTCTTGTCCAAAGAGACCACACTAGCCAAACTGTCCTTCTTCTCTGCTCTGTGCCCGTGAACAGTGAACAGAGATATTACCTTTTGTTCCTAACTTCCCCTCTCTTTTTCGTTTAATTTCTGCTGCCTGCAGAGTTCCCATTGCTCTTGCTCTTCGATGCCATAAAGTCGCTTCCAAGCATATGGTGACCTTATGCATTAATGTCCTCCAACAGCTCCTGGCATTAACAACTTTGCTTAGGTCTTACAAATGGAAGGCTGTGATCTCTTAATTTATTCAACCCTATTTCATGTGAAGTCTTCCTTTTTCCCTGCAGATTCTAAGATTCTTGTCTTTCCCAGTGAACTTCACCTTCTCATGATATCTCCAGAGTATGATAACCGGGGGCGAGGGGGACTACATTGATTTAAAAAATGCAAAAAGTAGTATGGTTTTGAGGCAAGCTAATTGACTTTTTTTTCCTCCCCCTGTTGATCATGCAAAGGAAAATGTGAATCGGTCCAAAATGGTCTCAGCACAAAATCTGTAGTTTTTCCACTCCACTGCAGGAAGTGCAAAATGCATGCCCTACATGTATTCTGTTCTACTGTGGAAAGGCCATCTCTAGAATCCAGAAGTATATTGTTTCCACCTACCAAAGTTTGGCACAGTGTGGAGGGCATCCCATAGCAGGATCCAGATGGTTAAAATTGGCCTCTGGAACCCATCAAAATGGCTCACCTCTGACTGGAATCCTATTGGTGTTCCCATACCTTTTGTGCTCCCCGGGGATGGTTTGATTGCAAACGATGTTTGCATTGACGAGGGCAACACTCAAATGATTTTTAAATATACAGTTGTGTACAGTTGTACAGTGATGATGGTGGTAGTAATAACAACGCACAGTGCTAGCACGGAATGACCTATTAAATACTATTGGTAGTATTCCTCCCACCTCCGGGTGCACTAGCAGGCATATACCCAGGCAGTCCGGACAACGAAGCGAAATAAATAAAGATCCATTCAAGGCGTTCTGTTTTCTGCTGATTCAGGAGGTCTCCGGGGAGCAACTGTGGTGGATGCCTTAGATACTCTGTATGTCATGGAGCTGCACGAAGAATTCCAAGAAGCCAAAGACTGGGTGGAGGAGAGCTTTGACTTGAATGTGGTGAGTCGGTCTTTGAATGTGTTTCTCTGTGCTGATGATGAAGATGCCTGGTTTGTTTTCGACCCTCCTGGTTTGACCTTGGGTTCACCTCATACAGATGCCCGCACTCTGTAGAAAGAAATGAGCTGCAATTGGCCAAATGGGCGCCCCTGTGGTGTGGGAAGACAAGGCGCCAAAATAATATAGAGGATGTATCTCTATTTTCCTCCTCTCCTCTTCCTTCTGCCACATATCAAAAGCACCACAAGCAGTATTGGTTGTCTGTGAAGCCTAAAAGCTTAAGCAGGGCACTTTTGATTTCCAATATTATACTTACACGTGTAGCAGTGGCGTTTGCTGCAGATAATCACCCTCTGAAAATTAAGATAGATGTAACTATTCATAATCCAGGCTAGCCTTGTAATGGAGCTTTTATAGTAATAATAAGAGGTAATTGAATACGCTTAATGCTTGGTGATCCCTTATTTGGGACCATCAACCGAGCCCCACCTATCAGCCAAAACTTCTGGGCTCATGTTTTAGATCAGTTGTTGGCAGAGCACAGAAAAAGGCAGGCCAGGGAGGGGAGTTTGGGGGGTTGTAGTCCAAAAAAAACACAACTTTCCGAAACTCTGGATGGTGACGATGGGAGAAGTCTGTTGCCTTTTAAGTTCTGCTTGTAGGTTTCCCAAAGGCATGTCGTTGAGCGCTGTAGGAGACAGGGTGCTGATCAAAGTGGGGGGTCTTGGACCAGAGCGAAGCGGGGGTGGGGGATGATGGGCAAGGACGGCCTTGGGGAACAACTGCTTCAAGGTACACCAGGAGGCTTCGGTTTGAATCCCCACTCAGCCATGGACGCTCATTGGGGGTGTGGGACCGGGAAACCATTCCTTAAATGTCTCTGTTACTTTGGAAGCCCTCTTAGGGTAGTTAAAGGTCCATTCTTATCTTTCTGTCCCCCTGCCACCCGCCCACCCATCTCTTGTCTTTTTCTCATCTTCTTTCTCCTCCCCTGTTGGGCTGCTGGGGAAGGGGGCGATGGCTTTTGCAGAGGCCTCAATAAGTACCTGATAAGGGGCTTCTGGAAGTAGGGCAGGGCCCCCAGGTTGCCCACCCTGTACTGTCTATAGTGTGAGGAGAACCCCCTCACCCTGCCTTCAGGCCAAGGGGAGGTTGCTCACTTGCGCTGCTTTCCCTTTCCCTTTTTCCAAGGGGCACCTCGTACTTTTCCCTGAAAGAGCTGTTCGTCCTGGAGAAAGTATGTGTGTGAATCCATAAAAAGCTGATATTTATTCAGAAAGCAAAACCAAATTGGCATGCAAGATCAGGCGTCAGGAGCGAATTTTTGAAAGGGACAATTTGACTGCAATTGCTTTGACATTTCAGTGATCCGAAGCTGGATTATTATAGATCATAACTAGCTGCAGGTAAAGGGCTATCTGGGAGATTTGGTCTACCACGTCAGTGGAAGCCCAGAAAAGAAGAAAAAGGGGGGAGGAAGCTGAAAATACACAGGCCTCTTTGCTGCTTTTTGCTCTTGGATAGATTTGCTTGGAAATGTCCCATTGATTTCTTGATTAGGGAAAACAGTGTTGTGGCTGTCCATGCAACATACCTCTTTATACCTGGGAAGGAAAGGGTATATGAGAAGGTTGGGGAAGAGGCAGAACACCCTTGCTTTGTTTTTGTTTTTGTTTTACTTCCACTGCTGCCCCACACACATGCACCCTTCTGGTAACATAAGCCAAAAATCCTGTTGTGTAAGTTATGCCTGCAAAAGGGTGATAACATCACCGCTAGGCGGAGATTTTTAGTAAATCGAAACTTCCTCATTGCATGTGGGCCATGGGAGCCCTGAAACCAGGTATGTCCCTCCAAAGGTAACCATGAGTAAAAGGTGTTTTACAAAGAGTCTTGGTGTGTATCGTAGCAGACAATTGGCGTTGCGGTGAATTTTGGGTATGCACAATACGTAGCATCTCGAATGTGAACCACCTCTCGCCCCAAACATGGGACAGGAACCAGAAGAGGCAGCTCTGCCCATCTGCAGCTCTCCTGTCACCTTCTGTTAACATCTTAATCGATGGCATGGTGTCGTTATGCCAAGAAGAAAGGAAATACGAGGGCCATGATGTCCGGCGGTGAGATTTGTTCGTTGTTACTGAAGGAGAGGACAATGAAGAAATTTGAGTTTCTCCTTTTGAGTGGATCAGGGTTGTCTGTAACACTGACAAGAATCTTAGCCTCACCGAGACGTCTGCAGATGTTTTAGAGCACTGGTTCTTAACCTTGGGTTACTCAGGAGTTTTGGACTGCAACTCCCAGAAGCCTTCACCACCAACTGTGCTGGTTGGGGTTTCTGGGAGTTGCAGTTCAAAAACATCCGAGTAACAAAGGTTAAGAACCACTGTTTTAGAGTACCCTACAACTCTCATTGAGTCTTAGCCTGTAGGGTCAATAGTGAGGCATTATGGGATTTGTAGTCTCAAAACATCTGGAAGGCATAGGTTGAGGAAGGTTGCCCTGCCATATCTGTGTGAAGGGGTAAGGCTTAGCAAGTATTGAAAACAGCCTTTGGTGCCTTTTCTTTTTCATCTGCCTGCCTTTATCTAACTATTTACCGTTTCAGCTCACATATAATCTGAAACCGTCCTGCCTTGTCTTTCACAGAACGGTGAAGCGTCTTTGTTTGAGGTGAACATCCGCTACGTCGGAGGGCTCCTGGCCGCCTATTACCTAACTGGCGAAGAGGTTTGTTTTTCAAATGCGTTTGCCCGTTTTGCCTCTAAAAGATATTTGTGTATGTCGAAATTACGCTGCTAAATCCGTACGTAGCAGCACCAAACTGTCCGAAAGGTTAAAATGTACTTCGTTGTGAATATTGAAGCGCTGATAGTGGTGGTTCTTAAATAAGTCTCACATAGTTGCTTGCCTGGCTCAGCTGTGTAGAAAATTTCTATTAAGATACGTAGCTCTTTGGTGTGGTACAATTGGTCCCTACTTTAAGGGCCCTTTCCTGTGATCTTGGCCCTTGCATTCAGAAATAAATAATTTCCTTCCCTCAGTTAAAGGAACCTTCATGAGCTCCGCAGGGTCCTATTCAACGCTGCTGTAAGATGACGGCCATTTTAAGCGGGGGCTGTTTTCAGCGGTTTTGCCAAAAAAGCAAAAAGTGAGAGCAAAGTCTTGTTTTGAGTGTTAAGGCAGCACAAGGATGACCCGGGCACTTTTCGTTTTCTTCATGCCAAGGATTTTTGCTGCCGTTCCAGGAAAGAGATCACCCCTCTCTTCCCCACCACAGAACAACAATGGGATTAAAGGCTTTTCCTGAACTTCGTTCATTTTATACCATTTTTACTGTGAAAAAGTGCATGTTATCTTAGCTTGGATAACTTGTGATTAATTGAATTAGTTTGCCAAAAATGTAAATATTGCATGAAGATACAGCTTCATGCTAGATAACTGAGTTCTATTTCATGCTGAATAACCTTTGAACTATAATGTATCTTTAGATAGATTTTTTTCCTCCAAAAGCATTTCATTAAAATAAATTTGATTTAAATAAAAAATTATCCTATTGAAATAAAACAAATCTGATTTAATTTTTTTTAAAAAAATCCATTTTAAAGAATCATCTGTTTTAATCCACCCTGGGTAATAATTCTCACCAAGATTCTCTCAGCAGGAAGAGACCAAGCTAGACAAATTGGATCAGGGTGCCGGTGGTTTTATTCCACATTTCTCATGCTTCCTTTTGCTCCAATCATTGACTCCCATCTTAAAACACATATTTGAACCCAGTCTCAAGTCCCAAAGCGAGCACAGATTCAGATGAATGGGACCATCCTTGGTTACCCTGATCCAATCTCACTTCCTTTTAATTTCCAGACCTTCAATAGGCATAAAGTGCTCATTGTACACATAATCTAATTCAGGGGGAAAACACATTTTTAGTCTCACTCTCCCACTTTCTCTTTCTCTACAAACTTCTCATGCTAAGCCCCCCATGAAGAGTTTTCTTCCTCCAAGTAGATGCCATCTGCTTTCTGAAGGAGAGGCCGCCTCCAGACAAACAAGAATTAATCTCCCTTACCAAAATGAATTTCGCCGAGCAACAAAATTCCTTAGCAATACAGCTCCTTATTTTCCTGCTGTTCCCCGGGACAGGCGAAGACTGATGGCGCCATATATCTGTGATGGGTAGGTAGAGAGAGATGGCACAGAATAGCCAAGGCAGAAGCTAGAGCAGTGGGCTGCTGTCTCATTGCATGAGATGAGAAAACTGCATCAATCCAGTGATTTAAAAAAAAAGCATGGAGCTGGGTGCAAAAGGCGTCATAAACAGCACCTCCTCCATATCTCCCCCCCCCAAGAAACCAAAAGGCACTGTAAGCCATGAAGTTTTTCTTCTGAAGTCTATTTTCCTTCCATTGGTTCTTTCATGTAAGTTTTTTCTCTCTGCAAACTTGCTTGGCCCTAATGATCTTCCAAGGAATCAGAAGGCATTCTAACCCTGTTGAACTGAAGAAAGGAAAACGGTTCTTAAACAGAGTTGCACAGCTGGAAACCTCGGCATATGAAAGGGAGAGAGAGATTTGTGGTGCTGCGGGCTAAACCGCAGAAGCCTGTGCTGCAGGGTCAGAAGACCAAGCAGTCGTAAGATCGAATCCACGCGACGGAGTGAGCGCCCGTCGCTTGTCCCAGCTCCCGCCACTGGTCGTGTCTACAGAGGCATTTGCTCTTGCCATGGGGTTGGACATCGAAAGTGTGTGCAAGGCGTGTGGCATTTAGATGGTCTGTCCCGAATAATTCCCCCCCCTCTCCTTGTCTCTCTCTCTGCCTTCTTGATTGATTGATTGATTGATTGAGTGCCTTCTTGATTGATTGATTATTTGATTTGATTTATATCCCACCCATCTGGTACAGTAGATTCTACCACTCTTGGAGGCTTCTCGCATAGAATATGTACATTAAGTCCTTACCCACTTAAGTACACCTTGGAACTGAGCTGCTGGATTGCTCCCCTTTCTATTGATTTTCTCCTCCTGGAACCAAATCTAGGTGAGACCCATGAAAGGCCAAGAAGGTGTGGAAAGTGGCTTCCCTTAATCATGAGCCATCTCTTGAGCAGAGATTAGCACTGGTCGTAATTCGTCCTCAAAGCATTGGATGGACTTTGCTGTCTTCGTGGCGAGCCTAGACGTTGGCCAGGAGATGTCATTTGCCATGTTAAAAAATAACAACATTTAGGAATTGAGTAGGGATGTATCTAAACAGAGGTGGGGGTGGTGGTAGAGAATCATCCTGGCTTGGACCAAAGAAGGCACCAAAGGGTTGTGTGCCAGGAAAACAAACTAAAATGGAGAACTCCATCTGGCCACTGATGATGATCTGAAATGGTGTAGTTTAACACTGAAAAGGCGGAGCTGGGTTGCAATAAGCATGAGGTCACATAAACATAGATCATCATGCAGGCCCAAAATGGGGAATAAATTATTGTGTGGCCACCCTTTTAATCAGCTGAAAGGCAATTGAGAAGAAGAAAAAATACTGGTCATGAAGTTCTACACCTGTCCTCCAGATGTGAGTGACAGGCAGATGAAGGTACCTCCCCCTCAGCACAATTCTAGGCAGTTGGGGGGTGATGGGAGTTGTAGTTCAACACATCTGGAAGATCACCAGTTGTAGAAGATGGCTCTCTGAATTCTGCAGCTCATGCAGGAATTGGCTGGCAGCTGAAATTTCTGTAGTGGTGATAAATTGATGTGCTTTATTAGGTCATAGCTGTCGCTGATCTTAATATTCAAAGCCTTCGTGGGTTCTGTGGGCTGAGACCTTATTTGTCTATTCCCTTAGCATGAATGATCTCTCACACATTCTTTCCAGACGGAAAAAAAAATAGGAATGTTGTTCTCCAATCACTCTGCTAAGCTGAGTTAAGGCAGGCCTGCCAGGGTATTAACATAAGAATATGTGGAGAAAAGCCATAAGCCCAATGCTTCCAGGTGGCAGTAGATCAAGTGGCAGGATTTGGAGCTGAAACCTCTGCCCCCACTGGTTAGTCTTTACTCAGTTGATTTAAAGGATCCGCTCCGGTCGCTTAGGAGGCCCACCTGGAGAAGCCATGTTTTCAGCACATCCTTGTGAAATCTACTTCATCTTCTTTTCTCCCCCAGATAAGCACGGCTGGCTTGAAAAAAGAAATTACATATCTCAGGGGTTGCAAGGGAGAGAATACAGAAATGTAGGCTGACAGGAAAGATGAAGCTTATTGCAGTTAAATTGCTTTTCCTGAGCTTTAGGTCCCCCGCACATATGGTGGGATCCTTCATCCTCCTGCTACTGCCCGAACTCTCCTTTATTTGCTTGGAGGTTTATCTCACGTCCTTATCTAGAGTCCATGTTTCACTGAATAAGTAGGCCTGGGCATCCTAACAACAACATTTTGAACATCTTTTCTTGAAGTCATGTGTTCTGCAGTAAATATGTAGGGGGAAAGGAGGAATTAAACATACACAATATAGCATAATTTCCCCAATAACACATTTAAGGGTTCGTTCGTTCGTTTAGTCATTTAGTCGTGTCCGACTCTTTGTGACCCCATGGACCAGAGCATGCCAGGCCCTCCTATCTTCCACTGCCTCCCGGAGTTGGGTCAGATTCATGTTGGTCGCTTCGGTGACACTGTCCAGCCATCTCATCCTCTGTCGTCCCCTTCTCCTCTTGCCGTCACACTTTCCCAACATTAAGGTCTTTTCCAGGGAGTCTTCTCTTCTCATGAGATGGCCAAAGTATTAGAGCCTCAGCTTCAGGATCCGTCCTTCCAGTGAGCACTCAGGGTTGATTTCTTTCAAAATGGATAGGTTTGTTCTCCTTGCAGTCCAGGGGACTCTCAAGAGTCTCCTCCAGCACCACAATTCAAAGGCATCAGTTCTTCGGCAGTCAGCTTTCTTTATGGTCCAGCTCTCACTTCCATACATCTACCCTACAATTAAGGGTACATCACATCAATTCAAGGCAAATAAAGATGTGCCCTGAAGAAGCTGCCGTTCGTATTTCATCAAATGCCCAGAAGAGCCAGCCTGGGTGGCCTTGGGCAAGCTGCATAGTCCCAGGGCACCCCAGAAGAAGGGAATGGGAAGCCACTTCTGAGTACTCTCCACCTAGAAAACTCTAAAAAAGATTGCCATAAATCAGGTGATGACGATGATAGATGCCTTAATCCAGCACTGAAAAGATGATAATGTTGGGGCAAGAGGGCCTCACTTGAGAGGATATTTCTTCCACGGGGAGGGGGTCATAGGTGAAAACACCCCTTTCCGTTTCCTCTCTTGAAGGAGATACCGAGCCTCCGTTTGTTAGCCATCATCTGGTCCCTTGTCACCGTCAGCCAGGGATTAAATTCATACATAGCCTCACCTGCTCATGAACTGCATGCCACTAGTGTGCTAATACAGTGGTGCCTCGCTAGACAGTTACCCCGCATGACAGTTTTTTTCGCTAGACATTGACTTTTTGCAATCGCTATAGCGATTCGCAAAACAGTGATTCCTATGGGGGAATTTCGTTGGACAATGTTTGGTCCCTGCTTCGCAAACCGATTTTCGCTAGACAACGATTTTGACAGCTCTCTCCGTGCTCGCAAAACAGGTGTTTTCGGGACCTAAGTTTCGCAAGACAGCGATTTAAACAGCCGATTGGCAGTTCGCAAAGCGGCTTTCCTATAGCCGATCTTCGCTAGACAACGACGATTCTTCCCCATTGGAACGCATTAAACAGATTTCAATGCATTCCAATGGGGAAATGCTTTTCGCTAGACAATGATTTCTCTAAACAGCGATTTCAGTGGAATGGATTATCATCGTCTAGCGAGGCACCACTGTAACTGTGTGCTCTAAAATGCCTCAGTGGTTTAGGTTAAATCATTTGGAGATTTAAAGCCTGATCTGTGTATCATGGAGATTCTGTGCCGCTGAGTAACATCTCCAGATCCCTTTTTCTAGAATTGACCCTCCAGGTAGGATAACAGCCCACCCCGAAGTGGTTTCCTCCAAACTTAGAAAGTTTATCGGAAAGGATCCTGGGGTCCATGGTAACGAAATCTCTTAAGGCATCAAAAGAACCAATAAGATCACACTCTTCTGTCACTCTCCCAGGTCACCGAAATGGTTTCTGGACCAAAAATCCTGACTGAAATTGTTTCAGGAAAGTGGATCTTCCATTAAATTGAAATGGCATCAGAACCTTAAAGACTCCTTTCCTTGTTCCAAGGTCCCAAAGATTTTCTTCGTCACAAGAGATCCCCCGGGAGCCTCGGAACTTGCGGAAGGGGTACTAGAGATTTAAGCAGCTCTGAAAGCCCATGGCTGGTGATGTCATCCACTTGGGCCAGCATAAAGCTGCGCAATAGGATTTCAGCCAATATGCACAATATTTAAAAAGAGAGAGAATATATGGAGATACGAATGAAATATATACATTTAAATTATGTATGCAATGTGTGTGTAATAAAATTCCATTGTGCATGGCTTTGAAATTTATTCTGGACATAAAATTGATTTTTTCAGTATGCATGAATTCCCAGCTCCACAGGCACACATATAGATTAATGCATGATAAATAAACATATTTTTTTTGAAATTTAAAACTTTATTCTTACTTAATAAAATCTTACTCATTTTGTGCAAATCAAATTTTGTGCCTTCAGGCGGATTCATTAAATAGCAATCCATGAAACAGAATTTGTTCTCTAGTTTCTACTTTTATTTAAGTATTCATTCGGGCGTACTTTAATAAGGCAGCGGTACTGGCATCTGAGAATTTCTGAGCTCCGTGATTCTCTGGGTGTTAATGCTCTCCCACACTTAACCAGCAATTAACACTTGAGCTTTTACATAACACAATCCTTAATCCTTCACAATAAATAGTCAAGGTTTAAGGAAGATAAATGCTGAGGGGAAGTGTAGAAAGAGGGTGGTAATTGAAGGTTTCCCCATTCAAATTAACAATTGGGAAAAGGCTCACAGTTAGCTTTATTGAGGTTCCTCTTTAGAGTTAGTGGCTTGCCACCAGGTTTCGAAAGCACGTTGCAGTTTAACAAATGGACAAACAAACATATATTTTTCCGGGGAGCGTTGGGAAGCCTCACAAGAGCCGTCAGTGCTGGTTCTTTATGGTGTTTGTGACTCACAGGAATGAATGGGTGACTCACACGTACAGACCTTGCGCCTGTTCAGAGACACAAACAGAAGTGAGGGCTTGGTGACATGGATAAATTGGACTAGGCATGATTGGGCTAAATAAGGTTGCTTCGTGTGGCATGCCTTTTGGTACGATGGTTATGTCCACATGGCATAAGCACCTCAAGTGACCTTATTTTGGCTGTACCCCTCCTTGCCCCCCCCTCTTTCTGGGAGGAAGCTTTCGATTTTTTTCCCTAAAAGGTACAGCACATCATGGCTGCCCTAACAGGCTTTAAAAAAATTAGTTTTAATATTGTTGTACACCGCTCAAAGAGCATTGGTAATGGTGCGGATAAAAAATATTGTAAATAAATAACTTTCCTTACTCCCTCTCCCCCTCTACGGTGGATAAGAGGAAATTTTTAAATTTCCCAACGTTGAGGAATTGAAAGCAGATGGAAAATTGAAGGTAGCAAGCCATCTACTTGGGTTCAGGCCCAGCGATCACACATCCTAGAACGGATCGAAAACGGAGCAATCCTACTCCCATCTAAAAAAAAGAGTGGCCCCTAACAGGGAGTCAAGAAAAGGTGCATGTAGGAACACTCAAGGGACAGGCTGGTTCATGCTGGGCATTTCTGTTGTGTGGTCACCTGGAAAAGGAGTGAACCAGCCGGCCCCCAGAGCGCACCAAACAGTGGGACAAATTCCTGTGTAGTCACATAACTGAGTTGCTTTGATAGGAATACCAGGTCAACTCTGATACACCCATGCTGCAGCTCATTGAGCAAAATTCGCTTCATTCCTTTTCGTCTGCCACACAAGCAAAAGTTTACCTCAGAGTATTCCTTCTTTTTTGTCCCCCTCCCACAGAGAAGTCTACAGTGGTGCCTCGCTTAATGAGCGCACCGTTTAACAATGAATCTGCATAGCGACGCGTTTTTTGCTATCGCTAATGCGATCGCATTGCAATGTTTTAGGTGGCAAAACATTGCGTTGCGATGATCGGTAAGCGTTTCGCTTACCGATCTTCGCGTTGCGATGTTTAGAAAACAGCTGATCGGTGGTTCCAAAATGGCCGCCAGGTGCAGAAAATGGCCACCCGCAGCATTTTCGCGCCCTGCCCTCGCTTACTGAGGCGGCGAAAACGGCAGCCGGATGGGGAATCTTCGCTTACCAAGTTTAATGCGTTCCTATGGGGTTTTACGTTCCGTATAGCGATGTTTCCGGATAGCAACGTTAATCCTGGAACGGATTAACGTCGCTTTGCGGGGCACCACTGTATATATAGTTTTTTATCAGTTTTTTTATAACTATAAGTGTTTCTATTTCTTTGGGAGTTTTGAAAAACAAGTTCTTTGTGATGTACCTCTTCATTCCCGTGGAGATTCAGATTTAGAAAACCGGTATAATTTACATGTCCCAATTTTTTCTCTTCTCCCCCCCCCCATTTTTTT